CAAAGAAAAAAACAATGTGACTTCATAGTTCATATGACCCTTTTCCTTTTTATCTTTATTGTCTATTCTAATCTTACAGTTGGGAGGGTGCAGTCATATGACCCTCCCCATACCCTCCAGCACACGTGGCACAAGGGTGCAATCAGGTGATGATGAGTTGCTGCAAGCATCCGCAGGCGCCTGATCACGCTTGCAGAGGGTGTCTCGCATAAAATTAAAAAAAAAAAACAAAAAAAATAAAAAAGGTTACCATTTGGAGGATGTCTTATCTCCATGATTGTATTTCTCTTTCTTTCTCTTAATAATACTTATTTTACTATCAAAAAACCTAAAGAGAACTTCTTAGGAAAACTCACTGACAAGAAAATATCTCTCCTCTTTTGGGACAGCAGCGGGATTGTGGATCCACCGACAGAGCATCACAAACATATCCTGCAACGTACATATCAACTGTGAAGGCAAGGGAATCAAAGGAATTGATGGAAGACTGCATGTTCTTTTTCTGACACAAAACAAAAACAACTTACAAACTAAAGTAAACTACATAAGAAATTTAGATATAGTTATAAAGTCATGTCAATAACCCAGCAATGGCAGCATATGTTAATGTAACATAACAAAATTTGATAATGCAAATGACACCAAGCTTTAGTACTCAAAGCATAACGAAATATCATCAAACTTGGACAGGCAAAAATTCTTATAAATGTGACAGGCACAAGATAAACAACTCCAATATCACAAAATGGAAACCCGTATCAGGGTTATCTCCTTTACATAAACAAACAGGATTACTGATATATCAGCAAATTTGTATATAAGGATGTCGAAGTACATCATGGCTTAGTTCAAAAACGTCAACAATTATACCAATGATTCAAATTGTTGGTTAGATGTGATATCAAAGCTATGTGACAAATGGTGCGTAAGAAAATGACTGCAACAACAACCACTGATCTTAATTTCCACAAGATATTTCCAAAATTCTTCAATTTTTAGTTAAAAATAAAATTATGTAAAAAACACACATTATCATCGTTCCCCGAACAAAAAAAGACAGAAAATTAATCACTCGCCATTATCATCTGATAGCAAGTATCTTCCCTGGACTGTATTTCTGCAAATTCGATTCTCTTGGAAGCCAATATCCTTCCTGAAATGCAACAGCAAAGATAACAGTCTGGTTGACTTAATTATCAAGAACATCAAAAATCACAAATTAGAAGTTCCATTTTTTGCTCTTTTGCTTAGCACAGCCGCCAAGGAAAAGCTACAATAAAACAAAATAAATAACAAATACATTGACACTGAGATTGATGCATTAACAAAAATGAAGATTAAGCACGTGAATTACCGAATGGCTTGAATTCTCATCGAGAATTGAAGAATAAGTATTTGCAGGAATATCCAGGGTAAATTTAAGGGAGATCTTGGCATCCTTCTCCTGGATATCAGACAGCAAAGTTTAATTAGGGTTTGTCCCCGTCTCCAAACAGCCGCTGAAAGCCTGGAACTGGAAGATCTTGCAAAATGACGAACAATGGAAAGTGACGACCCGACGAGTTGGGGAATCGGGTTGGATTTAAGCGGCAGCCAAACCGCCCAGGCAGGTTGCGTTTCTAAAACACCGTTATGCCGTTTTCAAACTGCTGTTTAAATATAAAAAATTAAATTTATTTTTAACTTGAATACTTCATTAATTATCTTAAATATTTTATGAATTAATATTTACTAATTATTTTAATTCGATAAAAGTATAGTTATGTGACTAATTAAAAAATTAATCATCATAATTTTATAAGATTACAAAATATTAATTTTAAATTATAAATTTTACTAAATTCACGTAATTCATGTTCAAAATTATTTTTTGAATAAACTAATGTCATTTTTTTTTTGTTTTATTTAACTAAATGTTTAGCCTTTTAATTTGAGTAATTAATGCCAAATAATACTTTATTGTATTTAATTATAGGCTTGATATTTTATAATTTTATTCAATTTGATAATTAATAATATTGATCTAATATCATATAATATAATACTTTATTTCATAAAATAGCATCATGATTTAACTTGTTTTATATGTTGTAAAATTAATTAAGTTTTAACGTAATTATTATTGTAATAAAAAAATATGTGAATATTAGATTTCTTTATTAAAATAATATGA